CCTGGAGCGTCTGGCTCGTGGCTCGAGGCATCTTTGCGCGAGAGTTGCTCTTCTTCTTCTCGACCTACAGAACTTTACACGAACTTGTTTTCTTCGCCGCCGGGTCGGCCAGGGCCATGACGCCGTCCTCATTCGTCGCCCTGCTGCTGCTGCTGGTTTCGCGCTCGCGCGCCACGGCCGGCGGCCGCGCGTGCCCAGACGCGGAGTCCCAGCTGCTCCAGCTCTCGAGCAGTCAGAGCTCTGGCGGCGGCGTCGGCTCGGGGCTGGCGGCCACGGACCTGGATTCCGTGGTGTGGCCCACCCGCGGCGGACCTCAGCTGAGGAACAAATGCCCAGTACCGCTGCTCGTCCTGGAGAGCCTTCGTCGCCACGGCTGGATTCGCCTCGAGATTCTGGCCAGAACGCACCCCAGGAGAGGTCAAGGGAAGCAGCGGTATGTGTATCTTTTCGCTCCCCAGGAAAGACGAGCTCCTGCTGCCGCTGCAACTACGTCATGCGCATCCGCGTCCCGGCCGCGAACATGCCCGCCGGCCCGCAGCAGCTTCGCATCAAGTTCGCACAGTCGAACAACGGCATCGCGTAAGTCCCCAGGAGTGATGAAGGCTGGCACCATCACGAACCTGTGTTTTGACGGGCAGGTCGGCGACTACACCACGGCCGTGTCTCTTCAGGCTTCTGCGTTGTACACCGAGCGGTTCGACTACACGATCGACACCGCCAAGAATTATTGAATCGCTTCGCTCATTCCGCCGGCCCATTCCGCATGACTGAGCCTCTTGGGGCCGCTGGGGGGCCTCTTCAGCGTCGCTTGGGGGCCTCCTGAGGGCCTCTTGGGGGCGTTTGGGGCCTCTCAGGGGCCTCTTGAGGCCTCCTGGGGGCTTCTTAAGGCCGAGGGCTCGAAGTTTTGTTTTGTGTTCCCCCTTTGGGGCATCGCTTGGGGCCCTCTTGGGCCCCTCTTGGGCCGTCTTGGATGCCTCTGGGGCCGTCTTGGAGCCCTCTTGGGCCATCTTGGGGCCTTCTTGGGAGCTTCTTGGGCCCTCTTGGGGCGATCTTGGGGGCCTCTTGGGCCGTCTTGGGGCGTCGGGAAGCCGAAAAGATGGACACGCCAAAATCTGCCCAAAACCTAAGGAAAAGTAATGAATTTTGCCTCTTGGGGCCCTCTGGGGAGTGCTCTTGGAGGCCTCTTGGGGCGTCTGGGGGCCATCTTGGGCGTCTTGGAACGATCGTGTGGCATCTCGGAGCACTCTTGAACCATCTTGGAGGGCTCTTGGCGGCCTCGTGGCCCTTCTTGGGGCTCTCTGGAGGGCCACGGGGGCGGCGCCCAGGAGGAAAACCATCTCTGATCCGACCCTGCCGGGGATCGCCGGGGGTACTTTTCGTCCGGGGACCCCCAGGGGCCGCCCCGCGCGCGCGAAGTAGAAGTATTATTTAGCAGTTACCGGAGATCTTAGCACGCCTCTGGCCCGTTGGGCCGGCGAATTTAATCGCTTCGCTCATTCCGCCGGCCCGTAGTGTGCCCTCGCTGGCGTTTGGGTTTTGGGGAGGCCTTTCGGGGTCCTCGTTGGGGGTTTCTTGGGGGCCTCTTGGGTTTCTGTTGGAGCCTCTTTGGGGTTTCGTGGAGCTGCTTTGGCAGCATTTAGGGGCGGGGCTTCCTGGGGCTTGAAAGGGGCCTCTTGGCGCCTCCTGGGGGCTTCTTAGAGCCGAGGGCTCGAAATGTTGTTTCGTGTTCCCCCTCTGGGGCTTCTCTCAGAGCGTTCTTGGGGTCCTCTTGGGCCGTCTTGGGGCCCTGTCGGAGGCCTCTCGGATCTCTTAGGGCGATTATGGGGCCCTCTTGGGCCGTCTTGGGGCGTCGCGATGCCGAAACGGTGGAGGCGCCAAAATCTCCCCAAAACCTGAGGAACAGCAATGAATTTTGCCTCTTGGGGCCCTCTTGGGAGTGCTCTTGAAAGCCTCGTGGGGCGTCTGGGGGGCTATCTCGAGGGCCTTTGGGGGGCCTCCTGGGGCTTGAAAGGGGCCTATTGGCGCCTCCTGTGGGCGGGCTTCTTAGGGCCGAGGGCTCGAAATGTTGTTTCGTGTTCCCCCTCTGGGGCTTCTCTCAGAGCGTTCTTGGGGTCCTCTTGGGCCGTTTTGGAGGCCTCTTGGGCCGTCTTGGAACCCTCTTGGGCCGTCTTGGGGCCCTGTCGGAGGCCTCTCGGGTCTCTAAGGGCGATCATGGGGGCCTCTTGGGCCGTCTTGGGGCGTCGCGATGCCGAAAAAGTGGAGACGTCAAAATCTCCACAACACCTCTGGAACAAGCAATGAATTTTGCCTCTTGGGGCCCTCTTGGGAGTGCTCTTGAAAGCCTCGTGGGACGTCTGGGGGGCTACCTCGAGGGCCTTTGGGGGGCCTCCTGGGGCTTGAAAGGGGCCTATTGGCGCCTCCTGTGGGCTTCTTAGGGCCGAGGGCTCGAAATGTTGTTTCGTGTTCCCCCTCCGGGGCTTCTCTTAGAGCGTTCTTTGGGCCCTCTTGGGCCGTCTTGGAGGCCTCTTGGGCCGTCTTGGAACCCTCTTGGGCCGTCTTGGGGCCCTGTCGGAGGCCTTTCGGTTCTCTTAGAGCGATTATAGGGCCCTCTTGGGCCGTCTTGGGGCGTCGCGATGTCGAATGGGTGGAGACGCTCAAATCTCCTCCAAACCTAAAGAAAATCAATGAATTTTGCATCTTGGGGCCCTCTTGGGAGTCTCTTGGGGCTCCTTGGCGGCGTCTTGGTTGCCCCCAGGGCCTCTTGGGGGGCTCTTGGGGGCTTCTTACGGCGGGAGGGGGGGGTTAGTCGATTGCGGCCTTCCCTCGGAGGCCACGATCCTCGTGAGGGGTGTCGAAAAATGGCCCTCCCCTGGAGTGCTCTGGTGGCTCTTCCCGGGACCTTGCCGGGGTGCTTTTCGTCTGGGGACCCCCAGGGGCCGCCCCGCGCGCGCGCGAACTAGAAATACTGTGAACAAGTCACCGGAGATCTTAGCACGCCTCTGGCCCGTTGGGCCGGCGAATTACGTATCATATTTTCACCGGGGACAACCCTTGACGGTGTGGCGTTCAGCGGTTACAACACTGATGCAAACGACGCATACACGTACTGGTCAACTTCTGGCACTACGACGTGGTACAACGCCGTCCGCGACAACGGTCTGGCCGAGACCCTTCGCGGACCCACTACTCACGCGATCCGGGCGCCAGCATCACAGGCGGCTGGAAAACCGCGAATCGAATCGAAGGCATCCAGGGTATCGAGTCTCAGGCTAGTCCAACCCCTGGCCCCACGCCAAGCCCGACGCCGTTTCCGACGCCCTACCCGACGCCGTACCCACGCCGAACCCGACGCCGTATCCGACGCCGTTCCCGACACCCTACCCGACGCCGTACCCGACGCCGTATCAGACGGCCTTCCCGACGCCGTATCCGACGCGTTACCCGACGCAGTATCCGACGCGTTACCCGACGCTGTACCCTACGCCGTTTCCGACGGTCTTCCCGACGCCGTACCCGACGACGTTCCCGACGGCCTACCCGACGCCGTACCCGACGGCCGAGTCGGTGAGGATCTCAATAGTGCCCGGGGCTCCTGGTGCTTTGCTATTCTTGTTTTTACGCGTGTCCGCGCGGATGCCCACCAGCACTCGTATGATTTCCTGATCTGCTCGTCGGTCGGGAAAGGGGGAGAAACAATACATGCAGACCTTCCGGGGCCGTTTTGGCCCCCTGCATTTTGGGCCGATGAGGTTTGCATGTTTTGCTGGGCCCCGTTTTGCGTTTTCCCATAGGAAATCCAGTACTCCTGGCCTCGCGCGGCGCCGCCCTCGCCCCGACGACGGCCAGGCTCCGGATTCGGCCGGGGGAGGTCTGCATGTATTGAAAACGCCTCGTGAGCGATGCTTGGGTGTGTTGGTGCTGTGACGGCCGAAGACTGTGCGGCCGTCGGGGTGCCCATCAACGCCCAGCGCCACGCGTTCTAAGGTTTTCCTAGTGTTTCCTGGCGATGTGCCCTGTGGTATTGCTCTGGGCCCTTGTGTGCGCCCTCCTGTGCTCGGGCCCTTGTGTGCGCCCGAGAGCTCCGACGGGCAGTTTCGCTGGCGTGTATTCGAGTGGGGCCCCGTGCATCGGCACAACTTTGAGCCCCTTTTTCCTTGTGCGTTGGCCCGCGCCTCCATGTTGCGGGGGGGTCGTCGGGAGCACTGGAGTCGAAACTGTGCACGTGTCTTCTTGCTTGCCGAGGCAGGGGGCAGCGCGTGGAGGCCCAGAGGCGTGTCTAAGAATTCGCATTGGCAGCCACGGGTGATTTCCACGGCAAGCCCTTCGGGCCCACTTCAGTTCCATCGGGGGAGGTGGGAGGAGGAAAGGGGGGGGGCGTGGGGGGGGCAGGTGGAGGAAACTGTTTGGAGCCCCCTGGCCATCGCCGCCCCGACGCCGGCCCCCTCCGCCCGACCGAACGAAAGAAATTGAGGGCCTGGGTCTGCGCGGTAAACTTGCGCGCGATTTCGCGCGGCCGAGGCGGCGCCAGGACGCCTGCTGGAGCGTGCGCGCGTCCCCAAGAGGGCCAAGTAGGGGTCCCAGAGGGCATTTCCGGGCCCTCTGGGGGCCCTATTTGGCCCTCTCGTGGACTTCCTACCCAACCCATAGATGTGCAACGGCCGTTGCACATCCTGGGGGCCCCTCTATGGCCCCCTCCTGGGCATGTCTTGATGCACTTTTGGGCCCTCGGGGCGGCTTCTGGGCTTTCTCAGGGGCCCTCCCACTATACCCGTAGATGTACAACGGCCGTTGCACATCCTGGGGGCTCCTTTTGGGTACCCTCGTGGGCACGTCTTGGTGCACTTTTGCGCCCCCTGGGAACCCAATTTGGCCTTCTTGGGGACTTTCCCAACCAACCCATAGATGCGCAACGGCCGTTGCACATCATGGGGCCCCCTCTTGGGCCCCCTCCTGGGCACGTCTTGGGGCCCTGTGGGGCCATCTGGGAAGCTTCTGGGCTTTCTCAGGGGCCCTCCCACCCTACCCGTAGATGTGCAACGACCGTTGCACATCCTGGGGGCTCCCTTTGGGCACCCTCCTGGGCACGTCTGTTGCGGACCTCAAAGGAGGCAACCTGTGGCGGCAGTCTCGTACAGCAGAGGCGCTTGTTCGCGGGAGCTAGCGCCTTGTGCCCTGGAGGGCATTCATCCCGAGGCCCTGTCAAAAAATTCCAAGAGACCCCCCTAAAGCGCGTCAAGAGGCTGAAATCGTCAATGTTTCGGAGGTTTTGGAATGATTGCGAAGGCCTTACGGCCAGCGCCGCCGACCGTGAAGGGAGACGAGAACGACGACGACGACAACGACGACGACGACGACGACGACGACGACGACAACGGCGGCGGCGGCAACGAAGACGACGCTGACGTGGGCCAGAATCATCAGGGCTAGTTCTTGGGATCTCTTCGGAAGTCTCTCGGGGGCCTCTGGGCAGGAAGATGTAGGAATTGTTGGGCCTCTGGCTTCCTGAGGACCTCTTGTGGGCCTCTTGGGGCCTCTGGCGAACCTCTTGGGGCCTCCTGTGAGCCTCTTTGGGCCGAAGGCCCG